AGTTGCTATAGCGTCCGACGGATCCCATACTAAAACGCGCAGCAACTACGTTTGTAGACAAGTTATATAGAGGTAATAACGACGGAAAGGAGCCAACTGAAATTGGGTCTGGTCCTGATGGCAAGAACTGCATATACTCTGCCAGTGACATCACTAGTAAATAAAGTAAGCAGTGGACTTTACGTGCCTTCGTAGTTGTGAGTGATATAACAGACAATGATATGTAAATTGGATGGCATTTTCAGACACAGTGTTGTCCTGTATGTGATATGTGCTGTTTCGTCTTGGCGTTCTCCCGTAGAAAACGTCCACGTCATATTGAGTTTCTGTGTCGCCTGCGAGTTCGTCTTTCCGGTACGGAGGCACACAGATCTGGAGATCTCATCAAAATTTTAACTCAACAGACATAGGCAGTGAGCGATCTTCTTTCGCGTGCAACTCAAGCTGTAATCTTCAAGGCATCGGCTAGAGGTAAATATCTCTTACTTGTCATGGGTACTGACGAATTCTACTTTCCTGTTCCACGAGGGCTACTGTGATGGGCTTCTGGGTCTTATTGTAATGCTAATCAGTCAGTGCCTTCGACACTGCTGGTAAATGGTCGGCCTTTGCCTTGGGCTGTATAGCGGACTGTACTGCTACTAAAAGATGAGTTCTAATGCTGAACAGCTGAATAGAGAGCAAAGTAGAACCCGCTCAATTCAGCAACTATGAATGCTTTATGCCATGGACGATATCTGGGGTTATGCAGTGTATCCTGACTGGCTCATGATATGCTCTTTGAGAGAGATGAATTGAAAGGCGCTGTCAGGAAGACTAAACCTAGTTCCTAACCATGTAAACCAAGTGTGTTTCGCTTTGAAGACATAAGCGTAATGGTATTTGGGCTATCGAATACCTGCACATGATTTGTCGCGGCCTTCAACCTCAAAAGAAGATGTGCCTTTTCGGCGGGCATTAGTGAAATCGACATACGCGAATCGCCAATGAGCGGAACTTACGGCGGCATGTAGGAGATGCAACCTTTTAAGCAACAGATGCTTACCTTCAGAAACGCACATACCGCTAAGCACGTTTGTGGCGGGCTGCTGTTCCTTTTTTTTTAGTCGCGGGAAGTTTCTCTACCTTGCCTCTCTGTCGTAATCAAACAAAAACCAAAAGCGAAAAAGTCCACTGAATGATCACAGCAAGCGTGAAGATCTCAAAATCCTAAGCCTTTCAATCCATGCTGTCTAAAAAATGGCTGCTACGATCATCATGGAGGAGGTGCAGTAGTCTCACGGGGATAATGATTTAATTTCTGAAAACTCCGGCACAGCGTGGTCACAGAGCTGCCAAAAAAAACCAAAAAAAAAAAAATATATCTATATGCAGTTCTTGATAAGGCTTGCAGAAATGGTCGTTCTTGGGGGGTATAACATATCCCCCATTGCAATCCATTTTGCCCAGTTTTGAGTATAAATAAAGAGAGTTGGCAATATATATAATTTCAAGAATCAGAATAAAGCTTGTTAGTGTCATACACATAATAACGGTGTAAAATTGTCATGCTTCAGTTCGAGGAAGAAACTGAAAACTTGCCAGGAGCCATCATCAGTAACCAGATGCAAAAGGAACAAAAGCTTCCGGACAACCGATTCCTGGCGTTAGTTGTTATTTTTTCGCTCGTTCTCCTCTCTATCACTAATCTATTGATTTTACTGAATCTTTTGCAAATTAACTCTGTGGTGCACGATAGCCTGCGTCCTTCTGGTGGTAATCATTGAGTTTATTTGTCTATCAAGCCTTTAATAGCAGCTCCCCCGGTAAGTGGCAATCGGATTAACTCCCAAGCACGAGGAGAAATCAATGGGTATTATTTGCGCCAGAACATGCAGCAAAGCCCAATTGTCGGCCGGTTTCGGGTCGACAATGTAGAGAATCAGTATCGGCTTCACTTCCCATTGTAGCGATATATGCATGTGTGAGAATCGTCACCGGGACCTAGTGGTAGTCGTTGTGCCCCGAGCGGCAGGTACTATCAACAGCATCGCTCTTGGAGCTGGACCTCCTAAACATCTTGAAAAATCATAAGATTAAATCATTCAAGCGTGAGCTCTCGGTAGTTGAATGCGTTCTGCCTTAAATACTTCTCCAGTCATATTGCGACATCTGGCCTGGAACAGCTCCAAGTGCACTCCTAGAAAGCTTTTCCGGGCTTCTTAGTGTCGAGGGATCATCTATTTCTAGCATTCGAGCCGTTTTCGGAGTATTCTAACAAGCGCTTGCCGATAACACGAGTTCTAAAAGGGGTGCAAACCTTGCTACTTTCAGTCCACGGCTTCAATCGGCATGCATCCGCTTCCTTCATGGTGAGTAGACATTATCGTGTAAGAATTTCAATAGAGGTTTATTCATTGCCTGTGGACGTAAATGGTGCAATAATCCCAATTGCGTGAAAGAGGTCGGTGCTTCAAATACCTTTGGGGTTGAAGAACAATTTCGGAAGTGTAAGGAAATAAGATGTCCTTGTCACCTATGGTGTGCATTGCATTGCGCGGACCATGCCACAGAATAAACACAGTCACTTCGAATTTTTTGTCAATGTGTGAAATTCGGAATGAAATTGCAAACCAGGATCGGGGTTTTATTCTGATTACGATAATGCGCTACCACATTGATCGGAGAAAAAAGCAGGATAACGTTGTTTGTCTGTCTGCGCGCTGTGCAAAATGGCTAAAGCACACCCCAAGTGAAGTGACAGCAATCATGTAAAAATGTGGAATGATTCTTATAAATGTCATAAACGCCTCGCCAAGACGCAGCTCATTGTGTCACTGCACACTGTTTAGTTGCAAACTATAGTTGGTGCTGGAATCATCGAAACAAAATGCTAACTTGAGCGGACTTAAGTGATATTTGGCGATCGCGATAAAGTTTAGTCTGTTCAGCTTCAAGCGTTGCCAAATCGGAACGACATATTAATGTCGCAGGAGCGCTTACCCAAGAAATCGACAACCTAAGTGAAGCGGTCTTGGAAGTTTGTGTGTTTGAGGATATTCGAAGATAAAATGGCGTCTTAACGGGACATCTGTATGTCTGGCGTCAGACTCATGTCACAGTAATCACTATCACGTACTAGACGACGGCGTTAGAGTAAAGAAGCAGTCAGGAGGCTTGGGATGAGCGGCTCTTATCGACCAAACAAAATGCAGTGAGCTTTGAACAAAACTTTCTATCTATACCCATAGTTACACTACGTGTCTCAACTTTCTCCGCACGGAAAACGTCTCATACTTTTGATAACACTTCCATTGTTCAACCAACGCATTTTCAAGGTAAAAGTTTCTTTATCAGGTCTTTTTGAAGCCTAATTCTTGATTTTATTTCTCCACTAATTATTCAAATCTTCTGAATGATCCGCTATTGTAATTGCTTTGCTCGTCTTTCTGATGTCTTCGGAAGATTACAGTTATTTTTGGTTGCAACAGTCTTTTACGCTGTTGGTAGCATAATTCAGTCTCAAACTGAGAACATATAAGCATATTCCGCAGGCGCTGTATGTCACAACGCGGTATGCGTCGGAGTGTCAATTCTACTCATCTAGGTACTGTCAGACACGTCTCCCCTGAAGTGGACAGTTTTTGTCAATTTGCTACACCTTAGCCATGTATTATAAAAGCTGGATACCAGGGCCATCAAGATATGGGCATTCATTTCACGCTTTCAGCGCTTCCGTTTTCCAAGTTTCTATTTGGTGCTATCGTGAAGGTGTCAAATACAGACGAGTGGAAGAAGCTGCATGAGAGAGGAAATACGGGAAATTCGAGTGTCGTGTACAGTCTGGGATATATTTGCCATCAGATCGATACTATAGGAACAACAGTCAGAACCGCTTGTTTGTGATGATTACTCGTTTCTCTAGCACTTGCTGGCGGTGTATCAGTAAATTGGCAAAACCATGGGATTATAGCAACTTTGGTTGCAGGACAAGTACCTTTCGCTTGTATTTTAGTGTTTGATGAGAGGCTCGCGAAAAATGAAGCCTTGCTTTTTAACTCGATAAGAGATCGTGGAGTTTGGGCTACCCTTGCAGCGTCATTTCTGGAAAAAAGGGTCTGCGCTACGAGTTCCGATTATTTGAATACTGTGCTGGTAGTGTCAAAGGATGAATCAAGAAAATGAGCAACGAGAATATCATGGCTTCCTACTTTCATTGTATGCACTACCTAAATTCTTTTCGGCTTGTTGGTGGTCCGCGTCAAAGGCCCAGAATTCTTTTTCAATATGCGGAACCAGTCTATGGGGAAGTACCACTGGGCCCTTTTATCAATACAGAGTAGGCGCTAGCTCGCACGCTGGAGTGATTGGAGAGTGATTGGACCGTTAGTTACATCAGGTGTTGGTAGTCCAATGTTCACTCACTCAATGATCGTGGCTCTTCTGACAGTGACCTCGCAAGTACAATAGGCCTGTATTTCATGTTTGCCCAGGTTGATACAGCTACAGGCCGATCGAACTCGGGAGCTGGGACACAAACAATGTTCGGACAAACTATAAAGCGCTTTAAAGACAGCAGTCTTGCAGAGCTGGAAGATTTGAGAACAATATGAGTGCAAGAATCTCGCACGGCTGCTGCTCTGGCATGATCTTGAATACTCCGTGCTGAAGGAGCCCAGATCTTTAAGTTTAGAGTTGCCAGATTTGTCCAGGAGAATCCGTGCCGTTGTTCGATGCCTTGCTGGACAAGTGTGCTTGCTGGTCCAAGTCAAGTAGCTATTTCGTTTATATTGCTACTCAATATTTTCGTTAGGTCTATCCTTTCAGGACTACATCTTATTGTCTAACCAGTGCTTTCAGAGGAAGATTGCCAGAGGTACGACGGAAGGGGCACCAATCCTTCCACACATAGCTCGCTAAAGGTATATGAGACTCTCTCATCGGCTATAAATCGCACCGTCCATGAACCTAATCTCGACGTTTGCCTCTATAATTAGCTGCGCTGCTGTTGTAAATTGCTCCGCGGAGTTGCTTGATCAGGTTTGTCTGGTGCTTTCTCGACCGTCGGTCAAAGCGCGCGTTACTCTCAGGAATCAGGGTGCACATGAAAGCTCAGGTTTTCGAAAAGGGAAATGCACCCTGGCATCGCTCCTGCAAATTATCGCTGACCTAATCATGATAAATTAATTTTCAGAAAAATACCAAAACTCTCAGCTCGAAATAAAAGAGGGTTATCCTCCAAAAGACCAACACTTTTTTGATTGTAGAGGCGTAAGCTTGACTCGGTTACGGGCTAAAATGCACCCGATTTCCTACTGGCAAAATGCTCCTCACCAGATTTTCCGAGATTTACGAAGACATGAGAACTCATGTAGAACTAAGGTGGCCTGCTGTGTCCGTCGTTTCGAGGACAGCTAGATGCAACCACTTGAGTTACGAAACATAGAACAAAAAATGGTGATTATAAATGAGGAAGCTTGACTTCCAGCAAGACGCCAACTGTCCTGATACATGTGCAACTGAAAATGTCCGATATCGAAAGTGGCATACATTCCAATCATGAAAAAAAGATTTCCAACGACAGCGGTGATCGGAGCGTCAAGCAAGACACATGTACTGGGCGTGAAGAGCCAAACAGAATTAAGATCAAACTCTTTTTGAGTTTGTTTTCCTTGGGACTGTCGATGTTTGTAACGGCACTGGACGTCTTGATTGTCGGGACTATCATTGATACTGTGTGCCAGTCCTTCGGAGACTATACCAAGAGCGGATGGATTGTCACGGGTTACTCGTTACCTAATGCACTATTTAGCTTGCTGTGGGGCAGATTATCCGCCACGCTAGGGCCCAGACTAAGCGTGGTTAGCTGCATACTGCTTTTCGAAACGGGTTCTCTGATATCTGCGTTGGCGAATTCCATGGACATGTTGATAGCCGGCAGGGTCGTGGCTGGGGTTGGCGGAAGCGGGCTGCAAACACTGAGTCTCGTTCTAGGATGTCAGCTCGTTAGCGAGAAGTCCCGCCCACTAGTAATGTCACTATTGAATTGCACTTTCGCTGTTGCGTCCATTGCGGGGCCGTTTTTGGGTGGAGTTTTCACTACGCATGTTACCTGGCGATGGTGTTTCTACATCAATCTACCCATTGGCGGGGCCGCGATTGCAATATTTCTGTTTTTCTATAATCCAGAAGGGGTGAACTTGCAGAAAAAAGGCTGCGAAACCCTCAAAAAAGTAGTGAGCTTTCGATTTGGAAAAATATCACCCCGGTATGTTTTACAGCAACTGTTGTTCGGCTTTGATGTTGTATCATTTGCCTTTTTCACTACAGGTTGGCTACTTTTCCTGTTGGCACTGACTTTTGGCGGTCAAAGTCACCCTTGGAAGTCAGGCATAGTTATTTCTTTCATTATCGTTGGTGTCTTGTTGATCATACTTTCTTTAGCCTATGACTTCAAAATGTTCGAAATAATAAAAACACGGGACAGTTTTAGACCGCTTTTGAGCTGGCGTTTAATGTCACAGACGACAATTTTGCTTGCAAATTTGACCGGTTTTTTTTCAACAATTGCATACAATGTGCAAATGATTTACAGCGTGCAGTTTTTCCAATTGGTATGCGGATCTTCCGCATGGAAAGCCGGTCTTCACCTAATCCCAATTTTGATATCTACGGTTGTGTTTTCCATTGCTAGCGGGGTCCTCATCAAAAAGACTGGTCAAATTAAGCCCCTTCTATTATTTGGTAGCGCAATGGGGGTTGTGGGAAGCGGACTCATGATACTGCTCAACAACACATCTAACAAGCACACTCAGATTGGTGTATTAATCCTTCCTGGGGTTGCACTAGGATTCGTATTACCGGCTGCGTTGATAGCCTGCCATGTCCAGCTCAATAAAAATAGTTCCACCTACGGAGCGGATATTTTAGAAACCACTTCGGTAAATGCACTGCTTAAATCTTTAGGAACCACAGTGGGTAGCATTCTTTCGACCATGGTCTTCTCCATCTCTTTACACCAGAAAATGAGGCATAGTGAACTTATGCTCAATGAACATGCTACACTTGATGACATCGCATCCTATAGAAAAGACCATTTTGATGGCTCACGCTCCGAAATGGGGTATATGTTGAACGATTCGATAAAAAATGCATTCTGGATGGCTTTAGGATCTTCCGCGATTGCATTCATTTGCAGTCTTTTTGTTTCGAGGCGGAAAATAGCCATGTAGTTTGTTTATTACTTTCAGCGATCTGACCTTGATGTGTTGAGAGCAGGAAATGCTCATCCGCTGTTACATTTCCCCTTATGGTGGTTTTCCGTGCCAGCGATCATAAGAGAATGAGTGGAGCGTGTCTTCTCTGGCGGACTGGCGTACGGTGTGGAGGAGCACAGAGACCATCGACGGGGTGATCGTCAGTGAAGCATAGCTTGTTGCTGAGCGCTCAGTGCTTTTAGTCACTTTTGGCGGGTGGAAAGACCATTAGTCAGATCGTAAGATAAACGGATCTGGCATGCTCTGTTATCCTAGTCAGAGCGTTCTTCCCCCATTTGCCGTCGGCCTCTTCGAGAAGATGCATAAAGAAGAGCTCGATAGGGTTACTTAGTAACTACGTGGGTGTGTTCATACGTTTAAGTCTACCGACCCCATTCCAAACCGTAGACAAAAATTATGGTAACTACGTTCTTCATCCGCTAACATTACGTGAAGACACCAAGCCCAGTGCTACAAAACTTTTTATACACTTGGACGACGGAGAGACAGTGTAGACGAGTTTTGAAGATCTGTACTTGCGCTCAAAATATCCCACGTCTTTGGTACACAACACTCCATTATGTAGTTAGACTTTCACCGTAAAATTAAGTATACATGCTGATGCAAGATGCGTAAATCATGCTTATTTTGGAGACGTATCTTCCTTCATGAAACTTGTGGTCTGTTCTGATGACCCGTCAGTCTGATACTAGTTCTTTAAGTGCCCTAATCCCATGGTGGCTCTCTTGTCGCTTCTTGTCGTCAGCGTCTTCGAGTTTTCACACCTGTCGCTGTCATCTGGTAACGTGATCCTTAGCCCGGTACATCCATCTGACGCTCGACGGTATGCCATTTCAAAAACTAGGACAGCCATGGCAGCGGCTGTATTACATGGTGTAAATATCTGTGGATTTGCCCGTGGCTACCACCTTTCCATCCGTTTTTTGTTTCAACGCCGCGCTGTTAAAAATACTGTGGACTCAAACCAAGTTTTGATAACAAAAATTCAGGCCGTCACTGAATAGTCTATCGGTGTAGGTTACATATATGTTTATGTAAGTCTCGATTAATGCTTCGCGAACAGAAAACGCTGGTCATCTTTGCGTGATTGTTTCTCAAATTAAGGCTTCAAACAGAAGAAGTAAGAGGCTGAGTGCGATGATGCTGGCCGCTCACACATTGGAATAACCATTAGGTAGAGCTGTGCATCCGGTCTTGCTTAAAGTAGTAACGGAGATTGTGTCTGGCTTATTACTAGTTTATACAAGAGGTGGTTTAAGACTTAGTGCTAAGAAATCATGCTAATCAAAGCCAGGGCAATGCAATGACATGATCCGAACCAACAAACTCCGAAAGTCAGACTAACAATAGATAGAATTTCAGTAAATCTTGAATCGAGGTAAGTTTTTCCTGGGGAAGTGAAATGTCACAATATCAAAAATAGTTAAAAACAAGATAAGAGGTATACTAGGAGCTACTGAGAAGGTGTAAGCAATTGCTGAACAACAGTTTCGAAACCTGTGACGGATGCTATTGTACAGCCTTGTGGAGTGAAGACCAGAAATACCCTGTCAATGTCTATCTGGAAGAAATTTACAGTATCTGAAGAGGAAATCATCGGTCGAGGATTTTAACTTCGCGCAGAACAAAAAGAATTGGTAAACATCAGACAATCGAGGCGATTTCAAGTATGAAAGCATGTGTTATAGAACAGTTTTCAACAGATCAAAGGACGAAGTTGAAGACCTGACCTGAACCGAGGGTCAATAAAAATGACGTCGACAAAATCTTTTTTGAACACGGGTTCCAACTGGTCTTTGGATGAGCGTTTCATTCTTGAATTCAATTCGTTAAACTTGGGCTACAGATTGACATGTGTAGCTATCTCGAACTACCCGAAACGATGTAAGATCTGTTATCATGTTCAATATTCTTCCTTACACTCATGTCCGACTTGACACTATAATGCCTATGCGGTGCTTACCATCCCAGTTCCCTCTGTATATATTTCACTCTTTGTTCCTTGTAAAGTTCTTTATGAGACAATGTTATTCGATTGATGTCGTGTTTCCGTACCTCACACAAACCCTTCTTTCCTCATTTCCTCAGTAGCTTCTTTACCATCGAATTGAGGTTACTCCTATTTCAGGCTGTCCTTTTGTCGATCGGTCCATAATATCTTTGCCAAGCACCTTGATGTGACTCACACCAAGCCAACGAGCGTCAGACTCGTACCACAGTGATGGAAGGCAGTTAAGTATAGGTTGAGATGGCCCATTTCTCCAATCGTTCAATATTGAAACATTTGATCGATCCCTTGTTGTTTCCGATAGTAGAATTCTTGGCATTTTCGATGAGACATCATAGGCACTGCCTCTTTAAATCAGGAAATTGAACTATACAACATGGATAAGTCATCAAAAGAGGTGCATGAGCCACCACACGCTATCACAACTACAACGTCATCTTTCCCTAGCTTGTGGCCAAGGGCGCTTTCCAACCGAGCGGGATGGTAACAAAGATGCAGCGAGGCCCCACAAGCCGGCTCGACAACAATACTCGAGTCTTCCGAAAATCTCATACAAGTCTTAGTCACATCGCTGTCCTGAAGAACCACAGACTTACTGCCATATTTTTGTGCACTGTCAAATGCAAAAGATGAGATATATGAGGAACCCAAAGAGGAGGCGATACTGGAAATCTTTTCTAGTACAATTGGGCTTCCATTTGCCAAAGACTTGGAAAGTACATCGCTTCCTTCAGTTTCGACCGCAACAATCGGGATTTCTTTGACTAGATTGTATTTTTCCAAACCTTTGATGACTCCACTATAAAGGCCTCCACCGCCTACGCTACAGATGATGCCCTTCAACTTGTATAAAGGTACCTGCTGCTGCTCTAACTGCTGCAAAATTTCTTCCACAATAGTGGAATGTCCTTCCCATATTATTTCATCGTCGAAGGGATGAACATACAAAGTTTCTAAGCCACTCTCCCTTGCCTTTGCCATCACTTCTTCGCGCAGGTATTGATCGGCAAGACCCCAGTGTTCTCCGTACACAATTGCGTCTGCACCTGCGCTTTTAATCTTCTCAACCATTCTGGGCTTTGCAGTTTTAGGGACAACGACTGTACAGTCAAGCTTCATTGATTTAGCTGCAGTAGCAGCCGCTAGGCCTGCATTTCCCCCGGAGCTGGAGAAAACTGCCAACTTCTTTTCACCATTTTTCATTAAGTCCTTCTTTTTCTGGGCAATGAGATGACTGATACCTCGAGACTTAAAGCTACCACTCGGCTGTAGCATTTCATACTTTATGAAAAACTTGGGACCATCTCCTTCAGTATTGAATCGACGTTCAAGTAGAGGCGTCACAGAGTAATTCATCTCGTAACTAGTTCGGTTGGTGACTCATGGATAGAAGGTGAGGATGTCTCTCCGTCGGTTTTTTCGAGGACTTCTATATCGAAAGAGATGTTCTGGAAGCGACTTCCCTAATATTTGTTGATATCTTTAAATTGCAATACTACTGCCGATAAGAACTAGATGTCGAGTTTTCGAGAGGTCGTAAGCTGGGATACAACGCAGCGCTAAAATCTGCTGGTACTTTGCCTGGAGTAGATGCAGGGCGCTTTGGAAGTTTTGGTGGTTCAGACACAACAGTTTGTTTGCCAATGAAGAGGGTTGTTGCTAAGTTAACATTTCTTCTCCTACGACTGCAGTCGTCAAATTTTGACTCCCGGCAGATCCTTTGATAGAAATTCATCATCTACTGTCACATATTCCTCTCAGAGAGTGTTGGAACCTAAATGTTTTTCTTTGCGCGCTACAAATTTTTCTGAATCAGAAGCTTGACTTTTCAGAGCTACCTGCCGTTTGTTCGTTGACTTGCTCGTGCACTTGTTCGCTAAAATACAAATGATGGGCACGAAATGCGTTTAATACAGGCTTTACGGGTATATACACCCATCCTTCATCACAACAATCAAGTTTGTTTCTGGCTCATCCAAAACATAAATGTCCTCCAGTGGATTTCCATTCATGAGGAGTATATCGGCAATGAACCCAGGCTTGATCTGGCCAAGCTTGTCTGCCATCCCATTCATCTCACACGGGGTGACGGTAGCGGACAGAAGTATTTCTTGCGGAGAAAGCACTTTATTTCTGATGAAGAACTCTTGAGTTTGGTAACCATTGAGAGACCCTAGTAGATCTGAACCATAACAGATTTTGACATTGTGTCTCTTGGCAATTGATAGAGCCTCCAAGCCATGCCTCAAAACGCTCAAATTCTTCTCAGCGTTTTCCTTCTGTAAGAATGATCCGAATTGGTCAGAAGCCAGCATTTTGTAAGTGACTAGAGTCGGAGTTAAGTAGCAGCCCAGTTCAGCCATACGCTTCGCTGTTTCATCGTCTAAAAGATTACCATGCTCAATGCCTTTCACTCCTAGATTGATACAGTTGTTGATAGCTTCAGGCGTATATGCATGAGCAGTCACATAGGAGTGGTAAGTGTCCGCAACTGCAACAATAGCACTGATTTCGTCTTTACAAAACTGCAAGTTAGTGATCTTGTCAGTCGGAGAAGCTACTCCTCCACCAGCCATAATTTTAATGAAGTCAGCGCCTCTCCGAAACTCTTCCCTGGTAACTTTGTAGCACTCTGGAACGCCATCAGCAACGATTCCCAAGTTATTGATATGACACTCGCAGTCATCCAGAGCTTCGCCGGGCATGTCGTTTCTACGCATATCCCCGTGGCCGCCAGTTTGCGAAATTGCATGACCACAGGTGATCAAACGAGGTCCTTTGACACTTCCTTCCTCTACGGCCTTCTTGATGTAGCTTTCAGCACCACCGCAGTCCCTCAGAGTAGTAAATCCTCTCTTGAGAGCATTTTCGAGGTTGTATCTGACCCTCATTAAAGCAGTACTTTTTGCAGTGTCCAGTGTACGCACGAGATCTGTCTCTCCGGGAACAGAGGTGACGTGTACATGATTGTCGAAAAGACCTGGCATCAAATACTTGCCAGTACCATCTATAACCCTGTAGCCGACCATGTCGACGTCGGTAGCGTCGGAATAAACGACATTTGATATAACACCACCTTCTGTATACACATATGCATTTTTTTTAACCTGGCCATCAACGACGTCAATCAAATTAGTGTTTTTGAAACAGTATTTCTCAGGCTTGTTAATTCCCCATGGAGTGACCAAATCTTCTAGGTTTTTCCAGTTTCTTTCATTGACATCAATCTCAAATGACTTGGACATGGCTAAGAATTACTTCTATCTACGTCCACACACCTGGCTATGAAGGATTTACTTAATATTGCCATCTTTTCTGATGCACTTGTCTTCTTATAGTCAATGTTCAAGAGAGTTGACAGAGCTCTGTCTTACAGGATGTCTTTTTGGTCTGTTATCTCTCATCACAAGTAATTGATATATTTAAAGCACATGTAGCTAGCAGGCAAAAAAGAACAATGGCATATTTTCCTATCGTACTGCACAACGTACCATAAAGGAGCGTGATATCTATCTAAGATTGCGGATTTGGCCATCGGATTTAAAAGTTACTATAAAGAAAGTTTTAGATAAGGAAATCGGACTTTGATTCCACTAATGGATGTAGTGAGAATTGAGCTGAATAACCCGTTTGGGCCTTTATCAGAGGATATTGTTCAGCTTGTCATACTTTGCCAATCAACTTTGACAACAACGTCGGGTTTTTGATTCATCCAACTGCCGAAAGTTATTGTGTGACGTCAGTTCACAGAAAGTTAAGAAAAACGCTGAGGGTGCACACCCGAGCAGACCGATAAGATTTACATGAGCATCTATTGAAGACAACAATGCTAAAGACGCGATGAACTCTACTTCATGATTGAATATAAGGAGAAGCTCCTTGTTGACTTTTCAAACCTCTTTTCTAGAATGATCATGCGATAAACAAGACCCAACGATGAAGGAAGAACAAAAGAATACTATAGATTATACGCTCGACGAGGTATCCTCGGAACATGTTGGAGAAATTGAAGCTATAAAGGACGAAGATATCGATCAGCTGGAGTATACTCCCGAGGAAGAGAAAGCGCTACTTCGCAAAATTGATCTTCATGTGTTGCCTCTGATGTGTGGTATCTTCTTTGCGCAATATCTTGACAAGCAGTCTTTGACTTATGCAGCGGTATTTGGTCTAAAGAAAGACCTGCACATGAAGGCCCATGACTATGCATGGTGTACAACCATTTTTTACCTCGGGCAGCTGGGCTCAACATTTCTGTTCAGTTACTTGATGACAATCATTCCAAGAGTTCCTCTGACTGGCGCCTGTGTTGTCGTGTGGTCCGTGTGCTGCATGTGTTTAGCAGCTCCAAGCACGAAGCAAGGCTTTTGGGTCGGGAGACTTTTCTTAGGAATCTTTGAAGCCGTTGTTCAACCTGCATGCGTTTTGATTACCACCTATTGGTACCGTAAGAGGGAGCAGCCTATGAGGGCCGCTTTTTGGATCTCTATGAATGCGATAGCCCAAATAGTCGGAAGTTACTTGATGTACGGCATTGGAAAGACAAACCCTGGAAAGCTTGCAGACTGGAGAGTGATGTTTTTAGTCTGTGGAGCAATCTCGTTGGTTGCAGGGTTACTATTCTATTTTCTGGTCCCAATTTCCCCAAGCTCGGCATGGTTTCTTAACGACAGAGAGAAACAAATCGCAACAAAGAGAATTCACGAAGAAAGTGATCGGTTTGCCATCAACAAGTTTTCTGTTGAGCAGCTGAAAGAATGTCTCAACTTCGACTGGCTATTTTACAGTGCCTTTCTATTTGGCTTCTTGATAACAGTGACAAGTGGTCCTATTATTTTCCAGTCGCTGATTCTGGCTGGTTTCGGCTATGATAAATATGAAACTATGAAGTACGGATCCCCAGCAGGCGCTATTCAGCTTCTTTTCGTGTGGATTGCTGTTTTTGCGGTCAAAATTTTCCCCAGAGAACGTGCTGCCATAGCTGGCTGCCTTGTTGCCATCCCATTGACCGGTAGTATTATGGTTCTATCATTAAAGAGGAGTAGTGGGTGGTGGGTGATTGTTGGCTCGTGGTTAGGATCTGTCATCACTTGCATAATGACCGTTTTATTAAGTTTGGTTGCCAGTAACGTCAGAGGCAATACCAAGAAGTCGCTTTGCTCCAACGCTTTTTTCGTGGGCTATTGCTTAGCGGCGATCATTTACCCACAGTGGTGGCTAGGAACATACCGGGGAGGTCTTATTGTCACCATTATTATGTGGGTGCTTCTCATTATCTTAATTGTATTTTACAGATTCAAAGCAATCCATGAAAACAAGAAGAAAGAGAGCGCTAGCTTCGAAGCTGAGCAAGCCATCAATGAAGATGATTTCACCGACAAGGAGAACGTCCATCACAGATATGTATATTGATTAGAGTCGCCACGGTTCGACTTTAAAATTCAATCTCAACGAGTGTGGAGTTATTTGTTCTTTTAGCCGATTGTAATATTCTGTTCGAATTTAGGCCGCGGACGACAGACAATTTAAGAACGGAATTCAAGGAACCGTGAACTTCCCTTAGGCCGTTGATCAATGTGATAGACTATACTTTGTTGAAGGAGCTATTGAAGGTGTATTGAATACATCGGTGAGCGAGGTGTATCTAGTCATTCAGGGAATGTCAATGATTTTTCAAAATCGTTTAAGCGTGGTGTGTCTCTTTAGCGCTCACTAAATATTAAGTAATAATGGTTTTTATTTCAAAGATTTTGGTACTAAACACACAAGACTTCAAATCGTCGACCGAGGGCTGTGTAGATTAAATTATTGGTAAGCGCACCGAAAACGGAAAACGGAATTTGAGGCATGCCAAGCTCCAATTCTTTGAACTATATAGTAAGGCAGAAATGTTATTTGAGGGTGAACTCTCACTACTTTGGCAATCTTTTACGTCACTAATTCAGTGCTATTCATTGCCCGAAAGTATTGACTCGGCAATGGAATCTCAATGAAGGCGAAGATCAATGACAAAGTAGTACAGACTGATTTAAGAAACCTTGGTGCTGTGATGGAATACCAGACGACGAACCGTACATTATTCAGTCTGCCGCACCTCAAACGATGTGATTTACGCTAAGGACCGACTCTGTGACCAAGCACTCAAATTTATGAATGCACTCGTGAGGTGGATTAGATTCACGCCGGGGAAAAGAACTTGGCTACTGTCTTACAGCGTATGTAATCCGTGAAGAAGGTTTGATCATAATTACGAGACTGCTGGAAGCCGCTACTGTCATGGCCGTAGCATTTTTCAACAGCCGAGAGAAAATTGGGCAAACTTGACCCTGGGCACTCCATTTTTTACCCTTTTATGGTCGTCAACGCAGCGAATACATTCTCGCCGAGTTTAAAATCAAAAATCTCCGCATGTTGTGGTTGCTGAACCAGCTAAAATCGTATGACTCGTCGAGTATGTGCTGACGAACTTGCCAGTCCATCTTCGTGAATACTTAAGAATCCAGAATAAGCGTCCTGACGTAGGAGACAGTATGAGTGGTGGGCTCCCTCAATCTCCGTAATGTTATGCTATAGTTCGCCCCCTCTCACATTTGAGCAGTTGTCTCTCCATTGCATCGATCACATCTTAGCGTCGGGTGGGTAAAGTTGTTCCATGTTCAGCATTTTGGCGATTGGTTTTTCGTCCAGATAAATACTGTGGACTCTTTACATCTTGCCGATGCTTTGCTGCCTCGAGCGACAAGACCTGCATGATTTCTGTTCCTTTTCACTGCAGGCACAAAATTAAATTGACGCAGGGACTCGGACTCGGATGCAAAGAATACACCGCATTAAACCTGGCGATGAAATTCACTTTATTACAACGTCAAATCATAGAAATCGCTCAAATGAACCTTGCTACCTTCATTTCCATACTTTTGCGCGTTTAAAGTCGAAGATATCAGAGTGGGTTTTAAAATGTCTTTCTTAGGTATCTCCGCTCTTAGAAAAGAAATCCCAGTTTTCCCCACGATTATCACTTACCTGAACATTCAATTCTCTGTGCATGCCTACCCTGTTCCTAGTAGTCATCAAAATCGTTCGGAATATCTCTAAAGTTATCCTACTGGCCACGTCTGCTCTTTTTAGTGGCAACGGAGAACTGAACTAATGTGGGATTATGGACCGTCAGCTATGCCACCTCTCTGCCCATTATTTTTCCTGCCACTCTTGTGGCTACAAACTACTTCTCAGCGTCGACAGTGCTTGACGGATTACTTCAGCCCTAACGTTTATAATCATTCTGTCGAAAACTCTTGCGCTCATGATGAAGACCTTTGTTGGTCTCTGTCGCCATGAAAAAGATATCAATATACTGATGGTTGGGCTTGATATGACGGGCAAGACAAACCATTTTATATAAGCTTCGCTTAGGGTCATGTAAGCAAACACTTCCGACCACTGGTTTCAATATGGAATTTGTACAGGTCGACGAAGTACTGTACCAAATAACGGACGTAACTGGTAGCTGGGTAATTAGGCCAAATGGCACGAATGGCTTCACGGAAAAAATGATGTTATATTAGTACTAGATCCTACTGATTCAGAGCGTCTTCCCGAGCCAAGAAATAGTTTTCACAAGCTTTACAATTCATACGAATTCAAAAAACTCCCCTGCAAGCTTCCGGTTCCTGTGTTTACGACTTTGATTGATTCTTCTTCTTCGTGTATGTCAGAAGAGGATATTGTGGTAGGTCTAGATCTACTTTCATTGGAAGATATCCCGTGGACAATTCAAAGATGCTGCACTATTTCCGGTATGGGCTTATCCGAAAACCTGAGTTGGATCAACCATGTCCACGTATGGCAAACTCAGAATGAGGCCGTGAACCCTCTGCTGTAATATCAATTGTTCCATTGATTGTGTATTGCCTTGTCAGACGCGAATAAAATATGCAGACAATTGTAGGCATTCTATGCGCTTCTTTCGCTCAGTCTCGCTGTTAATCCAGGCAGTGTTATCGTCGACATGCAAATACCAATTTGGGCTTAGAACAGACGGAAGTCGACGAATGGCGAATGGCGTGCAGCTGGCTTCGGGCCCACTGTCGAAATAACTTCAAGCCAGGGGCTATACCCTAGTCAAAACATCAACACTCCAAGTGATCAGATATTGCGGAGTCGACCACAAGGCATAAAAGAAACAGACAGATTCTTTTTTTAAAAATGGCGATTATCTCAAGAGCTCTGAAAGACGCGGAATTCGAAGTTTGATTGGAAAGGCTTGGAAAAGGTCAATTTGCTAGAATTCCACAAGTCGTCCGGCAAATTCAAAACGGCGCACTTGTTTACAATACAACTATCTTTAGAAATTTCGACATGGTTTAAGCCAAACAAGTGCGCGGCGGAAATTATAATTGGGCCTGTTTTTGCAGGGGCAGATTTTAAAAGTCGATCTCATAGTTTTGCAGTTTGATCATCTCATGACTCTTGAAGTGCCGACTCTATCATCAGCATATGAAGGATGTGCTTATGATGAGCTTCTAATGCGTGAGACCGTCGTATACTTAGATCTGTGTTTTACCTCTCACAGTACTCCTTATTGAGACATCTCGACCAATTTTGATGCCAACTTGGCTTATGTTAACTTTCACAGACCGTTGTTCTCTGTTTCCAGAAAAAAATCAACTATGGACAAGTACCGCTCCTGTTACCTACTTTAACGCCCTCCTTGTGGCGGCTTCCCAAGATTCAGGACATCGTTTCCAACAATTCCCAACTATAGATTCGGTGGGCACTTCCCCTTCACTCGCGGTCGTCCCGGCACAATCAAACTGAAAAAGTTTCCTACAATCGTCAGATCACGGAATATGTGGGAGAATTAGTTCGAACCCAATACTAGCATTGCCTCCACAATGTTTCGATGGGGTCTTCACGTTTGCCATTTGAAGCTCGGGGGCTGATAATGATAGTGTGAGTAATTTCACTCAATTTCATGAAGCATACAACGTAGCACGGAGAACGGGGGCTAAAGTTACAGCTGTTTGTGATCCATCGCCCACAACTCAAACTTGGCACATACATTGATATTTTCGTGGTGATACTGTTGGAGATAAAAAAACAAGAAATGTTTGAATATTAGAGGCCGATTTCTTTGAAGCTGCGGGAACAAACTGAACGATTTGATGCAATGTCTCAAATGAAACTCTCTAGCAAGCCCTAGGCGGTAATTCCTTCCCATGATCAAGGACGTGGGCCTATGAAATCAAAAAAAAAACGAATCTCTGTCGATCTTAAGACGTGCGGCAGACAAGAACATCCGTTCACCAAACCCACTGACAGAGATGGAGAAAGTAGGAATACTGTAACAGACGTTATTTGCCCTTGAATGGATCTAAAAATCTCTGTCTAGTTTGCGTTCCTAATGTCGCTTGCTCTCAAAATACGAAAGCGTTTCCCGGATTCTTCTTCTTCTTCTTTAAGCCCTTGTACAGAGCTCAATATTGTGGGATACCGCTCGTAAAGCCTGGAAAAATGGCTGTTTAAACTACGGTAATTTGAAGCACTTTTTGATGCTCTTGTATTTCAACGCTTTAGTAGCCATAGAGTGACTAGAGTGACTAGATAGTCTAGGTCAGCGGACGGAGAACAAATTGATTTCAAACTTTTACTGATATAAGTCCAATAATGGGCTTGGGCGCAAAACAGGCCTTTCAGACTATAACAACAAAAACAAATTCATCGCCATTAGCTTACCGGTGGAAGTGATCGCGCGCTGCAGTAATTCCTTATTGATCTCGTTTAAGGCAACAAAAACTTGAATAAGACAGTGGCCATCTGCAACTCTCACCACAGTCTACACGAAAAACTCTGAAATTGGGTCAAGTCGCTTGCATGTGAAGCTCTAAAGCCAGAGATATGGCTTTCACAAGGGAACTACCCGTAAGTGTTCACTACTTCATTGTAGAGAGAATTCGAAAAAGCGGACATAAATTGTTCAGGCCGTTCTGGAATCAAGTCCCTCCTGAAAATTTTCTTGAATTTTTATATGGTCGCTCATCCGGCTTCTAGTGATCTATCCAGATAACTTGAAAACGATTGTTTCCTCTTTTCAAATTATTCTGTTAGCGCTTCAAAATAAAAGTGCTGCATGATGGGTCGAAAGTCCAAAACTGCGGCAGCGTCTTTAAACTCTCTGTGAAATTTAGATTAGATATCTGTAGTGTCTCGGTACGATAACCGCATCGACGTCTTGATAAGGTCTACGCGCAGACTTAAACAATTGAGAGGGTCATTGATGGGCTGTACACATAGAGGACATCGAGGGAGTCAAAAAATCAAAAGCCTAGCGATTAGTTGTGAGTACAAAGGCTCAAAGAATCGTCAGAAATGAAACCTCCACGATCAATTGAGACTAAAGAGGGCTGAAAGTACTTTTCGGTTGTGAACTTTCTACGATCAATTGTGACTAAAGGGGACATAAACTTGTAATACTACTATTGCCTCAAATATTAATTGTGAACAAATAGGTTCAATACATTGTTCAGTATAACGAAGGTCAGCGATAACTTGTTTCTTCGTGCGTACGGTTATCTCTATGATATTCACAATTGGTCGCTGTGCACAATGGCTCAATTGTGCTGGTAGTTATCTCATCATCCACAACTCACCACTAACCCGCAATTGTTCAACATTCTGGAAGCTATCTTAAATTACGACTGATCCAACGCTCAGTGGCTCAACTGTGCTTACTGTGTCTGTATTCACAACTGATCATTAACGCTGTAAACTGTTCTGTTCTGTTCTGTTCTGTTCATAGCATTCTCAATACCTCGTTAGTACTTGTAACCCTCTCTACTCTTCACAACGGTACGATGATTTTCCCAGCTGTTGAATGTGCTTACGGGAGCTATTCAATTTACACTGTCTAGTGAATCGCGGTTCCCGGAATTGTTACGCACATTGCTAATCATAAAAACTCCGGTAGACCCTAGCAACCTTAATCACGAGGGCATCCTTTTTTGACCTTAAATTTCGAAGTAGATGAAGTGCCCGACGAGTCCTACTTGCACCAATCAGAATAGGTTCAGGAACCGATTCTGAAGTCCAATGCCCTTTCAAAGGATACCATAATTAGTCAGCTATTTCTTGTATATAAAGGTTGAGTGCTAGCCATAACTACATATGTCCATCTTCCCGCTTCCAACAGCACAAAACAGCAAACATGTCTGATATATTTGCCCCAGCACCAGAGCCTTCAACCGAGCTTGGAAGACTTCGTATACTGTCTAAAAATGCAGGTATAAGAGTTTCGCCACTTGTCCTTGGGGCAATGTCCATTGGAGATGCGTGGCAAGAAATGTTGGGCTCTATGGACAAACAGCGCTCTTTTGTGTTATTAGACGCATTCTACGAAGCCGGAGGTAACTTTGTCGATACTGCTAACAACTATCAAAACGAACAGTCTGAGCGATGGATAGGAGAATGGATGGCCTCCAGGAAAATTCGGGATCAGATTGTTGTGGCTACCAAATACACCACGGATTACAAGGCATATGAAATCGGCAAGAACAAAAGCGCAAATTTCAACGGAAACCACAAACGTAGCTTGCACCTGAGTGTTAGAGACTCTCTAGTCAAACTGCAGACAGACTGGATTGACATCTTGTATGTCCATTGGTGGGACCAAATGACATCTATCGAGGAAGTCATGGACAGTCTTCACATTCTGGTTCAGCAGGGTAAAGTGCTTTATCTTGGTGTGTCCGACACCCCGGCGTGGGTGGTCTCTGCGGCAAACACGTATGCGAGGGCTCATGGAAAAACCCCGTTCAGTGTATACCAAGGCAGGTGGAACGTGATGTTGAGGGACTTTGAACGTGAGATCATTCCCATGGCAAGGACATTTGGTATGGCCCTTGTGCCCTGGGATGTGTTGGGTGGCGGTCGGTTCCAAACCAAAAAGAGTTTGGAGGAAAAGAAGAAGAAGGGCGAACACGTACGTTCTTTTATTGGCCCGGCAGACCTAACTCCAGACGAGATCAAGATTAGTGAAGCTTTGGAGAAAGTGGCGAAAGAGCACAATACCGAATCCATCACTGCAATTGCACTGGCCTACGTAAGGTCCAAGACCAGTCGCGTTTACCCACTCGTAGGGGGGAGAAAAATTGAACATCTGAAGCAAAACATCGAAGCCTTAAGTATCAAGCTATCTCCAGACCAAATCCGTTTTCTGGAGAGCGTTGTTCCGTTTGATGTTGGTTTCCCAAGCTCCTTTATTGGTCCAGATCCCATTTCAACTGGAGAAACTGGATTTTTGACTGCTATGTCAACCCATCTTGCCTTTGACTAGTGTTAACTGATGTCTTTCTAGTCTGAGAAAGAACAACCTGACCGCCCATGTCCGTACAACGTTCGTAAAATTGATATCTTTAGTTATGTCCCTAAATGATGGTACGTACATTTGAAAATGATCTGCTAACAAGTAAATCCATACAATATGGTTCGCTTATTTGTACACACGGTTGTTGAACTTCATCAAGGCCTTTGTCTCAATTTTTTCGCAGGCCAATCCTGTCGAAATAAAACTCTCAATCGACCCCAATGCCCGCCATGAAAAACTGCAATCCACTTCACTTCTACAAAGGGTGCTAATACGCTATATATCGTTAATCATTATAGCCATCCATCGTCAATGGCAATAAATACCTGCATTTCCAGCCGATCACTGCGCTTAATAGTCGAAAGCGCGCTGCAAAATAGCAACAACCTCGTGCTTTTCGAAAAGGATAGGATTTGTTGCATGGCATGCATCTTTCATAGCGTGCTCGGCCAATGCCTCGAAGTCTGCCTTCTTGACACCCAATTCCTCCAAATTTCTTGGGATCTTTAGTGCTTTGCACATGTCCAACAACTTCTCAATCGTAGCATCGGCAGTGTGCGCTTTACAACCTAAATGAATGGCAATTTCAGCTAGTCTCCTTTCAGTGGCCTCGTCGGCTTTGTTGAAGTACTGAACGTGAGGCAGGAGCACGGCGTTGCACACCCCGTGAGGAAGATGGTAAAAACCACCAAGCTGATGGGCAAGGGCGTGGACGTAACCAAGAGAAGCGTTGTTGAAAGCCATACCGCCCAAATATTCGGCGTAGCACATGTCAGTACGTGCCTTCTTATCAGAGCCGTTCAGGAAAGCTTTCTCCAAACTTTCTTCAATCAAGTCAATTCCTTTCAACGCACAAGCATCGGTGATAGGATTGGAGGCCGTGGACACGTAGGCCTCGATACAGTGGGTCAAGGCGTCAAGTCCGGTGGCAGCAGTCAGGCTGGGTGGCAGACCGTACATAGTCGATGGATCATTGATGGCTACCGATGGGGTCACATGGTTATCGATAATTGCCATCTTTGTTCTCTTTGCCTCATTCGTGATTATAGTGAATCTCGTCATTTCTGATGCGGTCCCTGCAGTGGTGTTGATGGCGTACAGAGGTAGCCCGTTCTTCTTGGACTTGTTAACGCCCTCGTAGTCTTCGATAGATCCACCGTTGGTAGCAACTAGAGCGATCGCTTTAGCATTGTCATGGGCAGAACCGCCGCCGATTGAGACAACAACGTCTGAATTGTGCTCTCTTAGGACCTTCAATCCATCCGAGACGTTCTTCTCGTTAGGGTTGGGTTGAGTTTGGTCGTAAATAGCCACGTTAAGGCCCAGTTGTTCGAGGGTTTTCGATACGGTGCCAGAAAGACCAATCTTGGCAATACCTGGGTCTGTCACGATAAGAACGTTTTTGAAGTCCGCTTGACGGATTTGCTTGGCAGCCTCTTCGATGGCGCCCTCACCGAAGAGGGAAACGGGTGGAATGTAAAAGCCGCTAACAGAGGGCATTTTCGTTAATTTATAATTTGGTTCTGTGTGATGATTGGGAACTTTTTGAGTACACATCCATCTGAGTGAAGACTGTCGAAAAGCCGCTGTATAAATAGTCCCAAATATGCGTCCGGCTGTGTTCTTAGAAGCTAAAAAGAAAGTCGATCTCATCAGGCAGGAGACGAATATCACCAGTCAACACCACGAGAAATGGCAGACGGATAACACCATTTGTTATTCGAGGCACGCTGAAGCTTACTTTAAGCATTCACCATTAATAACCTCTGGGGTAAGTGGTTTTTTTATCTGGTTCACACCACAAAAGATTGCAGTTCACGAGACGTCGCGGCTCCGCGATGGTCCATCAGCTTCGTATACCTGACGAATCAACATCCGCTCAGGTCCAAAGCAGGGTGCTTTCTCATCCGGGCTGAAGATCGAAGAAAAATCTCAAAGAGTGGACAGTTGTTTATTAGAAAGGAAGTTAGTTAACAAAATTAAGTCCGAGATCAAAAACCTCAGCTGACTTGAAAAACCAAGAGCGCATGTTTTTGACAAACATTTACGCACAACATTTTGGATAGCAGCCTGGCAAGAGGGTCATTGTCACACCTATTGGTTTTCGGAGATGACAGGATGTCTTTTTTTTTTTTCGAAGGTGACAGAGTTTTTGAATTTTGATGACTCTTCGAGAAGGTGGCCAATGTTCGGTTTTTAGCAGTCTTGGATATTCACTAGATATAAGTGTTGTATGCATTGGTTGGTTGTATTCCAAAAATCTTCCATGACGATATGTTTAAACATTACACGAAATAGGTTGTTGCTCCTGTTTTCACGTTCTCATTATTTTCCTCACGCTTAGTCTGTATTGTTATTTCTCTGTCTTTACATTTCGTGTGACAACTGGAGCGTGTAGATAGAATGCTAACGCATGTCACCACAACACAGTCCATCATGAGTGATAGGCTCTTGGTACTTGAACTAAAAAACCAGTGTTTTAACTAGACTGCAACTTCAAAATTTCTTCCCCACACATGCCGCAAAACTTGCGGTTTAAGCCAGCTTTCTCAATTCATGTGTCACTGCTAAATCCTTACTGACACGTCACACTTGAGCTCACACCAACTTTTCACATCCTGTTCTTCATCTTTCGCTTTCAATCGCATCGCAGGCACTGCTGTGCCCTTATCCACTCGAGCCTCTACTTGAACCTCCGCTCGCTGAGTGGCTGTCATCGGGAGATCCTGTCACATGACTCCACCGATACTTTATCAGATGACTTTGGAGCCGTTAAGCATGTTATCTGCAGGACAAGCATCGCAGATAAGGACATCGAAAACACATAAAAAGCCAAGCACTCCAGAAATCGACGGATGCCAAGGACTAAGGAGATGCAGGGGCTCACCGCAGAACCATGGGTTTCAAAGAAAAATTTCAAAAGTTTAAATACTATATTTCGGGTTCCCCCGTCAAGGGCGAACATTACAAGGATCCGCCTAACGTGAAGGACCTTCCCCACATGACCGACGCCGATGGTCAATTGGTTGCTGTTTCTTCAGGAAAGCGTGAGCTGTCGCCAGTGTTGAGTGCTACCCTCAACATTCAGAACTCCCACAGAAGTGGGAAAGTGGATGAAAACACTGACACGATCGAGGGTGCAATGGCAAATGCATGATTAAGCAGATACTGGCGTGAACCGTGCAATTTCTATACTTCAGCCCGTAGCAGTCTGCGAACGTGCAGAGACCAGCACTAATTACCACCAGACGACACCATGCTCTGATATTTATGTCACTTTGAACGTATCGACTGTTCAGGGATCTTTCTGTATCACTTTCTACTTATTTGTCACTAATTATATCACTTTGTATCAATACGTCACCATATTTATTTTGCCCACCTTCTGGACCGTTTCTGGACCGTTTAATCAAACAATCTGACGCTACTTTAACGCTTGCCATTCCACTCTACATCCTGTGCCATTTTCAGCACATTTTCCCATACCGCTTGGCACCAATCTGACACCACTCCTTCAGTTGAATGGCTTCAACCCACATATAAGCAGTCGGTTATTTGAGATGCCAGGGGCAGGCGACTCTGCAAAAAAGTTTGGAACATTTTCTTTAGAGTTGGAGTTTCCGACAGAACCTGATTTGAGGTCGTTTGTGATCCATTTTGAGAGTTAGCCGGTTTTTTTGAATGCGCAGAAGTATCGACAATGTAATGCGTAAACTTCATATGTTTAGAGAAAAAGCACAAGATCATGCCAAGACCTCTGTGTATTCCATAGATAAAACTTACAGGGAATATGGAAGAAGCTACTTGAATTTTTTCTAGCGGCATCTGATTTCAACTATGGCTTTTTAATAACAATGCTTGATTCTCGCGACGACAAGCCCGTTTTAGCTTCTACACCAGCATCATGAATATTTGGCTGGGATGAAAATTGAATGGAATGTTATTTGTGTTGTTTGACTTCTGTGACGTTAACGTGCAGTTGGTATGTGCAGTCTTACTTCTTTCTATCTTGGTCTACTCTTTTGGTACGCATTTTCTGCCTCCAAGATCCGCAATAGAAATCGAATCAATAGTTTACGAGAGCCGGGCCACAACCCGCTCCGCACAGTGCTACGATCCGCTTGGGATCCACTTTCGTTTTTTGGGACCTCGATGTTGTGATCCAGATAGACTTACGAATCTCGGTCCATGGTCCCCGACATTTGCCGAGACTCAGTCAGTGGATCGGTCCATTACTGAGATTAGCTACCTGTGCATCGCTGGAGGAAAGCATACAGAGCAGCATCTTCAAATATCATCTTTCGATGAAAGACAGTGTCCTCCCTTAGTACTATCAACACACAAAAAGCTCACCCTTGTTTTCAGCGAATCCTCGAAAACGAGGATCCTTTTGCAAAATCTGGAATTTCAAACAAGTTGAATTCATAACATCCCAATGGTTGTCCATCACTCTGGCAGTTTTTATTGTTCTGGCACGCTTTGTTCCGAATTTTGCACGCCAAGGTGAACTCATCAAGGCTCAATGCACTATTGAATACGGCGCCGTTGCATTGGTCTTTCTATAGAATGGGTTGAACATGTCAACCAAAAGTTCATTCCTCAGTCTTTCCAATTGGCGTGCACATTTCGTGGTACTGGTCATGACTTTTCTTCTCACAAGTTCGATTCTTTTTGGGTTCTGCTGTGCGATCCAAATCTCGGAAGACTCCAAGGTCGATGAGCGGCCGCTATTAGGGTTGATCTTGACTGCAGCGACCCTGTTGGAAATTTTTTGGCTGGGTTTGTCAAATGTACCTCATCACATCGCTGTTTGCATTTGGAAACCCATTCAACGGCTCCAGCGTGCGTATGGTGTATGCCAGCGTCATGAAGCAGATCGGATTGTCTGTCTTCGTACCACTATGCGTCGGTCAAGTGGCTCGAAATGTGCTTCCCACCCAGGTGTCGTGGACCCTTAAAACGTTCCGTATGAACAAGATTGGCAGCATTTTCCTGCTGCTGGTGATGTTCAGCTCTTTTTCCACGACTTTTTATCAGCACGCATTCACCAGCGTGTCCCACGTCTCCATGTATTTATCGTTTTGTTCAACATCGGGATTTACCTGTTCTTCAGTGTTTTATGCTTCGTCTGTGCCCAACCTTGGTCTATCCTCAAAATGTTCCCCGATGAGCCCAACGAACACTCTTCGAAGATGTACGTGTACGGGTACCGCGTGCTAATACCTTTTTATTACAACAAGAAAGATACCATTGCGATTTTCTTTTGTGGACCTGCGAAAACGGCAGCTCTGGGTGTTTCCCTGGTCTCATCCCAATACGGCAGTGACTTCCCACAGTTGGGGAAGCTTCTTGTTCCTTAAGTGCTATACCAAAGTGAGCAAGTTGTAACTGCGAAACTTCTGGTTCCACTCGTGAGGAGATGGGCACAGCCGATGAAGACGAAGTTAGATCGGCCATCGAAAAGGACTTGGAGCAGGCGTCATCGGGTAAGGGCGACGCAACTGATAGCTCCGAAGTATCTCCAATTGCACAAGAAAACGACGTACAGAAATAAGGTGGGGGACAATAAATGTACAAGGGTCTTACGAGTTATGTATAAACGCACTTGAGACTTGGCGGCGAGCTCAAGATGTATGTAATTTGATAAAAGCCAATGAATAATAGAACTGGGAGAAAACTTCAAATATCAGTCAATGCTACACGACTCCTTCCTCAATCCGTCTTTTATTTTATCATTTCACATATTGTCAGCCAGATCTTCACTCAGAAATTAGAATTTGACGCCAACGCTGCTAATATTGCACACACCATATAAAAAGCTGACATCACATTGTCTACATGGCCTCCCCGACTTTTTGTTAGTGTCTCCTTAAATACCTCGACCCATGTCAAAAACGCTATTGTACACATTTGCTGAAGGGCAACTGGGAAGGTGCATGTTGGTTGTTGATGAGTACAGTAACAATCTAGTTTATGTCAACTCTGGTAACGATAACCAACTGATTCAAGTTGTAAAAAACCTCATTAAACGACAATCACAAAATTCCAAGATCTCCTACGTATTGCGTGAAGATTTAGACAATGAATTGGTCGAGTTGTCTGTAATCATTGCCAATTTGCTCGATGGTAAAAGAACAGCACCTATAAAATACGAATACCTCTATGGTACCGATTTTCAAAGGAAGGTATGGGATGAATTATACAAAATTCCTTGGGGCTGTACAACTACATATCACCGGTTGGCTAGGCAAATAGGGTCTCCGAATTCATATCGTGCTGTCGCCAACGCTTGTGGAGCAAATCCGCTGCTGATGGTTATTCCCTGTCATCGAGTCTTGAGTTCCAATGGCACCCTTGGAGGCTTCAAAGGTGGGGTTCAAATGAAGCGGCAATTACTCGCAGCGGAAAAGTGCTTCAAGAGCAGTGAGCGTTCTAATGCGGTGCGGTTTTCCCCACTTGGAAACGGTAGTGAGTATCCAAATATCTGCTAATCCAGGTGCCGTGTGTCATCTGTCAAAATTTCACCCCCACTAAAAGGTTTCTAGTTTGCTATTTTGTTATGAAAGTCTATCACGTCAGTCTAAGCTGGCGATACCACATTTCTGAGCTGTTCAATCAGCGCATAGGTTTTGTTAACTTCGCTTGTTTCGGGACAAGATTCTTGGCTCTACTAAAGTTTGTGTGTAAGGGGACAAATCTGATGTAAAGAGCATTGAATTGGAACTCAGCAAGGTTGCGTACATTAGCTAAATACATAGGTACGCCATTCGTGAACCAAGGTAAGAAATTTACCAAATCTGTTGCGTTCGAGAGACGAAGCATTCATAAAGTCTAACGGTAGAATACAAAGCGTTTGAGAAATGTACAAAGACCACAGACGAAGAGCGCTGAACTATGTTCAGGTCAGCAGGGAACGTCCTTACACTGCGACCACATTTTGTCACTTTAGTCAAAAATGTCGTTTTTTGGTGATGATTCAAGTGCCGATTCCAGAGTGCGGACGCCTGTGTCAAGAGCCCCAGACATTCTGAAGACATTGCTTTCTGAAGTTGAAAACTATCAATCAGGGGAAATATAAGAGAGTACTGCTCCACTAAAATTTAATAAACATAAAATTTATCATATGTATACACTTGGTATAGGGTATCTAAGTTGAAATTACAAAAGGGCCAAAGGTAGGGCCAAGAGCAAGCCTGCTCTGAGAACGTTTGCCGAGCCTTCGTAAGTTGAGACCGATTGTGCAACGGGAGATGCACTTGAGGAACCTTGAGGAGTCGAAGGGCTGGAAGCAGCCACGGCACTGGTTGAGACTGGTGTGGTAGCAGCTGAAGCTGGGCCTGAAACACCTGGGGCGGACGCAGAAGCAGAAGCACCTGGGGCGGAAGCACCTGGAGCAGAGGCAGAAGCAGAAGTACCTGGAGCAGAAGCACCTGGAGCAGAAGCAGAAGCAGAAGCACCTGGGGCGGAGGCACCTGGGGCGGAAGCGGAAGCACCTGGGGCAGAAGCACCTGGAGCAGAAGCGGAAGCACCTGGGGCGGAAGCAGAAGAGACAAACGCGGCATCGACAGAGGAATCGGTTGCACTTGGACTGGATCCAGTACTCGTTGCACTGACTAGGTCAGAGAGTGGACAGGTTGTAGTATAAGAAGTCACAACACCCGACTCGGTGACAGTGACAACAGATTCAGTGAAACGGGTAGACTGAGCAGCTACACTGGCTTCGTTATTCGCTGGAGATGCTGTCCCGTAAATGGTGGTGAATGTGGATGGTTTTCCAGACTCAGTGACGGTCGCAAGCCCCTCAGAGTAAGGTGCAGTAGTAACACTGGCCTCGACTTCACTTAGTGGACATGTCGTAGTGTAAATAGTTTCGACACCAGAAGACGTAACAGTCACGACACTTTCAGTGTAGACAGTAGAGATAGGCTTAACTTGACCACAGCTGACAGATCCAGACACAATAGAGGCTGGGTACGTGGTTCCAGAGACGGTCCTAGCAGAAATCGTAGAAGCAGGCATTGAGACGCAGCTGCTTTCCGAAGCCGCAGCAAGCGTGGTAAAGCTAGATGGAGCGGAGCTAGATGGAGCGGAGTTCGATGGAACACCGCTAGATGGAGCAGAGCTAGATGGGACACCGCTAGATGGAGCAGAGCTAGATGGGACACCGCTAGATGGAGCAGAGCTAGATGGAACACCGCTAGATGGAGCGGAGCTAGATGGAACACCGCTAGATGGAGCGGAGCTAGATGGAGCGGAGCTGGATGGAGCGGAGCTAGATGGAGCAGAGCTGGATGGAGCTGAGCTCGATGGACCGCAGTTGGTGGTGCCTGGAACAGTGGTGCCTGGGTAAGTAGTGCCAGAGACAGTCGATCCCGAGATAGTAGTGCCTGGGACAGTCACGCAAGATGAGGCTGGAGCAGAGCTGGATGGAGCAGAGCTGGATGGAGCTGAGCTCGATGGAGCTGAGCTTGGGGCCACAGAGCTGGATGGAGCGGAGCTCGATGGAGCGGAGCTCGATGGAGCGGAGCTCGATGGAGCGGAGCTCGATGGAGCGGAGCTGGATGGGGCAGAGCTGGATGGGGCAGAGCTCGATGGGGCAGAGCTCGATGGAGCTGAGCTCGATGGGGCAGAGCTCGATGGAGCTGAGCTTGGGGCCACAGAGCTGGATGGAGCAGAGCTCGATGGAGCAGAGCTGGATGGAGCAGAGCTGGATGGAGCAGAGCTCGATGGAGCAGAGCTAGATGGAGCAGAGCTCGATGGAGCAGAGCTCGATGGAGCAGAGCTCGATGGAGCAGAGCTAGATGGAGCAGAGCTTAGTGATACAGAACCAGATGACCTAGTGGTTGGAGACATTGTGCTGTTCCCGTACGACACAGAGTTTGAAGAGAAGCTCGATGAAGCAGAGGAGATCGAAGCAGAGCTCGATGGACCGCAGTTGGTGGTGCCTGGAACAGTGGTGCCTGGGTAAGTAGTACCAGAGACAGTCGATCCCAAGATAGTAGTGCCTGGGACAGTCACGCAAGATGAGGCTGGAGCGGAGCTGGATGGAGCGGAGCTGGATGGAGCGGAGCTGGATGGAGCGGAGCTGGATGGAGCGGAGTTGGATGGAGCGGAGCTAGATGGGGCAGAGCTCGATGGAGCGGAGCTAGATGGGGCAGAGCTCGATGGAGCTGAGCTTGGGGCCACAGAGCTGGATGGAGCAGAGCTGGATGGAGCAGAGCTCGATGGAACAGAGCTGGATGGAGCTGAGCTGGATGGAGCGGAGCTGGATGGAGCTGAGCTGGATGGAGCGGAGCTGGATGGAGCAGAGCTGGATGGAGCGGAGCTCGATGGAGCAGAGCTGGATGGAGCGGAGCTCGATGGAGCAGAGCTGGATGGAGCGGAGCTCGATGGACCGCAGTTGGTGGTGCCTGGAACAGTGGTGCCTGGGTAAGTAGTGCCA